AATGACGGCAGTGGCGGCGGCAGACTTACGGGCGATGTACAGTATGTGGCTCCCTCCCTGGACGACAGTTGGGGTACGACACGTGAGAGTCCGGCGGATATCGCCCGTCGTATCGTGGAGAGCAACTTGGCTGCGCGGAGAGGTAGGAGGGGGGGGAGGGGGGAGGGAGAGGGGGAGGAGGGGTAAGGGAGGGGGGAAGGGGGGAGGGAGGGAGGGGTAAGGGAGGAGGGAGGGATGGTTTCAAAACCCCGATCGCCAGGTTGATCCCACCTAATTACCTCTACACCAACTTCTCCCCCCACACACACACCCGTGTTTATGTTGCTGGGCTTTGGAGGCAAACAGAGCACGAAGGGGCAAGTACCATGTCCGCAGGGGGCAGCGGTTTTGCCGATGTTGTGGCACCAATAGCCACGTCGAGGATGAAAAACATGTGTTATTAGAATGCCCAGCTTATAACGATATTCGTGCGGAAGAGGAATTCGATCATCAACAGAGCATGTTGGAGATCATGAAATGGGAGCCAGCACGTCTGGCGAGGATGTTGGAACGTATGTGGGCTCACCGCAACTCAGTTACCCCCTTTGGACGCTAGTCTGGGCTGATGTGCGGTGTTTCCTGTTCTCCGTGGCTTTTAGGCGTTGTAGTATTGCCCTTGGGCCTTCGGCTCGTATGGGTAGTTTTACAGGCATGGGGTCACGCAACCCCCAACCATGTAACATACATACATACATACATACATACATACATACATACATACGGAACTGCCACTACTACACACAACTGCTACAGACGATGATGATGATAATGATGATGATGATGGCGGTCCGGACCACGTTTCGGAGGGTGTTCTGTCCCCGAGTGAACAGAAGTACGCCAGTCTGGAGGCCATGAGCGCCGACATCAAGAAGCTGGACGAGGTGTTTGAGGTGTTGGCGTCGGTACCCTGGCTGGATGAGGGTGAGGAGGTCCAGGGGGGGGTTAGGGGAAGGGAGGGAGGGGAGGGGAAATCGTGGTTTTTAACTCTGCGTTGTGTTGCTTCCAACTAAACAGTTTGGTTTTTGTGATTAATGAAAATACTGTAGCACCCAAAAGGCAGCTTGCCTGCGGTTGATCGTTCGGCGCTGGTCTTTCCTAATGGCCTGGCTGGCCTTCTCCAAAGAGCAAAATATCGACAGTCGACGAAGGGGAGGGGAGGGGAGGGGAGGGGGGGCCAGAACCGTGCGGCGATCCTATCATCACATCACCCGTGAAGAAACACACAAGAACACGCGCGCGCGCGTTCACAGTCCTGTCCCAATTAATCCCCTCGCCAAATAGTTCTTCTCCTCTAAATAATCCTTCTCCCCCTCCCCTGCCTCCCCCTCGCCGCCTTTCCCCCCATGCCCGGCGTCCTTTCTAGACGTGCTCGCCGAGAAGGAGCTCAAGGGTGTGGCACAAGTGGGGTTGTTGGGGACGCTGGAGGAGGTGGGGTTCAATGTACGACACCAGGTACGGGTATTGCCGCACCGGTCTGGGGAGGGGATTGGGAAGGTCTCCGAGGGGGGAGAAGGGAAGGGAGATAAGTGAGAGTCTGTGTTTTGTGGGCCACCTCACACCGCAGAATCTATCCCCTCCCCTCCCCTCCATGCCGGGAACCGCAATCTTCGTTCAGTGACCGTACACATCACTTCGGACTGGTACGGCAGTTATGATACATTAGCCGTCAGTCGGCAGCTGACTCTTCCTTTGCTTTCTGACGCACGTCTTTCCTTATCTATCTGGTTTCCCTCCCCTCCCCTTCCCTTCCCCCTCCCGGCTCCGGAACCACAGCTGCTCCGCATCTGGTCCGGGGAGAGGGGCGCGGAGCTGGCGGCGGGTCCCGGGCTGGAGTTCCGTGACCAGGCGGCCCTGCTGGCCATCCTTTACCACACCCAGCAGATTGAGGAGCGGCACGGACCGCCCCCGCGGGGGTACCTGCCCAAGCCGCCGACCTCACCGCCGCAGCAGCATTAGCTGGCGAGCTGTATGAGCTGATAGAACTGTTCTGGCAGTGCAGCAGCCCACGCTGCTGCCGGCCCCCTCCCGGCATTGTAGCATCCGCAGCAGCAGAGAAGGGCATGAGAAGAGGTGGGGCATTGACGAAAAAGCCGTCTTGAACGAACACAGAAGTGTGATTGTTCCGAGCAAACTGCAAACTTAAAAAAATTGACACAAACAAACACTCGTGTTTGATATGGTAGGGCCCGTAATGACCCAGATTGGTGTTTTGGCGCCTGCCATGATCTGGAGCTGTAACGTGCGCAGAGAGGTTATCGGTTAGCTGTGCTACCGATTCGCGGAAATTTGTCTTAACGTGCAACTGCCGCGTGTATTAACGTAATTCATTCACAACATCGGAAATCGCACCGGCCGTGTCCATGGCCGCCAAAACGCGCGCGGGATTGATTTGGGGATGCTGTACAGGGCAGCAATTGGTGACGTGGATGGAGCGTTTGGGGATTTCATGTTAAGTAGCTGTTACCGGATTTAATTATGCAGGTGCGGTCATAGATTATCATGGTTCTGATGATAACAGTAAGCGTTACGTTGACGAGCCACATAGCTCAGATTTCCGAAACAGTTTAAGTTTTGATGTATCGGCTACCGCAGGTCCGAATCTGACCTGCGGAGACAGCAACACGAGCACAGTACAACATTTCAGTTGCATAGTAATTGTAAAGCTGTCATGCTGCTTCATGACCGCCGGGATGCAAATTAATTAGGCAGAGTGTACCCTTTGATTAATGAAGTCGAGGGCGTTGTGTCTGATCAATAATATAATAACTCACGATGATGAACGACATTATTAGGCTGATGGCGTAGGACCAATGGGAGCATCGCAGTCGTCAGCTGACAGCGGCGTTGTGACTGTCGTCGCTGCGCCCGGGGTCCGCGCCGAAATTGGCCTTCTTCCAGAAGATGAAGCTATATTACAAGAAGTTGAGCAACAACTCACAATACTGGGCGCACAGCTCCGGAGTTTCCAGCTGGTGCGGCCGCAGCGATGCACGGGTGGTGGTACATCGCTAAGCTTTGCGGGGAGAATAAATCTCGACTCAAATTTAGCCAACGAAGCTTCCGCGTTTTAAAAACTGTATCCTTTGAACGTTTACTTGCAGCTGTTCATCATCGCTGCACCACAAACCCCACACTCCCATGCCCCACATGAGCCGGGAAGAAACCTATCACCTGTCTCCGGCTTCCAACGGTATAGCAATATGACTGAAAGCTAATTAACTACCGGGTGGGATACATATTGGGTGGTATGGATCTATTCGTTTTCGTCGTGTCCGCTATAAGCAATGGGAATGGATGGCTGGATGGGCGCGTGCACAGTTTGATCAAAGCATGGAAGGATGGACGTCCCCTCTGCAGGGTGGCCAAGGAGGTAGGGGAGGAGTAGGAGGAGCCGCTGCAGGGGGAGCTGTAGCACTAGCTGAAGCCATGCCGCTGCAGGCTGCAGCAGTAGCAGCCGTGGCGCCGGCGGTTGATGAACCGCCGCTTCTGGCGGTGTCAGATCGCGACACGGGGCCCCGCAGTGGCGCCGCCGCCGCCAACGCCAACGCCGCTGCTGCTGCTGCTGCTGATACTGCTGCTATAAACGAACGGAGGCCCGCCGCCACCGCCGCCAGCAGCGTTGCCAGTGCTCTAAGTGCCATCGACTGGCTGGGGATAGCCTCGTACATGACACCTGGACAGACGCCGCAGGGTACGGCACCCGACATTACTCCAGTACAGGCAAAGATTAGCACGGGCAATAACAACAATATACAATCCGCAACACCGTTAGCAGTCCGATGTTACTTGGAACGTTGACACTGGTTTCACTTCTTGGCTGCTTTGCATGTTCTCTCTTCCCATTACTGCCCACTTATATTGGCCAATTATTGCGACGGCTTCAATCATCTTGCCGTACATCTTGTGACCATTTTGTGGCCATCTCTCGATGCCCACGCGGGGCCCCCTCTGGGTGTGTTTTGTTTGTTGATGTGATTTTTCCGATTTGAAGGTTTAAAGGCCACATGAGGATGGAGTAGATAGATAGATAGGTAGATAGATAGGTAGATAGATAGGTAGATAGATAGGTAGATAGATAGGTCCGTGGATAGATGCCGCAATCCCCCTACACTGCCCTCCCCCGACTACAATATCACCACTAGCAAGGCAAACAGCACCTCTTTCGTCACCTCTTTGGCCCGCGCCCCGCCGCCCTCGCCGCCCTCGCCGCCGCCAGCAGCCTCATCCGCCGCAGCGGAGCTCAGTTCGAGCCTCCAGGAGGACATACGCACGTACCGGCTCTGGCTGAGGCGGCGGGAGGAGGAGACCGCTCGGCAGCAGACGCGGCTGAGCGCGGAGATGGCGGCGGCCGAAACGGCGGCGCGGGCGGCGCTGGGACGTCTGGCCAGGTGTGCGGCAGTTTCGAGTGGGGAGAGCCGTGTCCCGAGTACGGAAACTAGGAAAGGAAAAAAAGCCGCGGATGCGAGTCAAGGTAGCTTCTTCAGTGGAATTCTTCGTTGTACAACGATGCTACATTACTTACGATACGATACGATACGATATTTCATTTTTATTACACTTGAAAAAGTATACGACCCTGCAGAGCCACCACGGTTCACACTCGCCTCGCCGCCAGTTTGGAGTCCCAGATGGGTTTGCTGGCGCGAGGTGTTGAGGCGCTGGCGGGCCGAGTGGAGGCGGTTTCGGAGGATATGGCGGTGCTGCGAGGAGGCGACGGAAACCCGGCACGACGCTGCAGGAGGACGAGCTCTGGGGCTCTGGAAACGGAGCTTCAGGAATTTAATGTTCCGGCGGCGGCGGTGGTGGAGGAGGGGGAAAGCTAATTCGTGGGGGGAAAGCGAGGGCGCGGGGGGAGAGGGGGAAAGACGAACCACACGGGGGAGAGGGGGGAGGAGGGAGGGCGGGAGAACGGCTGATGAGGGTCGGGGGATTCATGTCGCGGTGTCTCTGCAGGGGGAGTGGGAGGAGGATGGAGGAGTAGGAGGAGGAGGCGTTGGTGGTTTTAAGGGAGTGCGTGACATGAGGCGTTTGTACGGCTGCGTGGCGAGGCTGGTTTAGCGTGTACGACAAAGCGGGTTGCGCCTTGCAGGGGACGTCCGGGGTTTTGGCGATTTCTGCTCCCGAAGGGGCTCCCGGGGTGTTGGTTGATGGGCCCCTGTTGTTGATGACGACGAGGTGGTTTATCGAGCTGCGGGCGTTCGGGAATGCCTTTCGCATGTGGTTAGATGGATGGGATGGATGGATGGGTGGATGGATGGATGGTAAGTCGTTGGTCATTGTGTTCGTTTGTTCCTCTGCTACTCGGCGTCCATTGCGCTCGAAAGCCGCTTAGCGCCCCTAGGCCCGACACCCCCTCGCAGCATGACCCAAGACTGAAGACTGAAGACCCAGCCAAGGGAAGAGATGTCGTCCCGTCCCGCTGTCCGAACGCCCCACTCCACACTCCCCACGCGAATCTATCACACGTCGTCGTGGGGCAATGCGCTTGCTTACTGCTAACGCCCATCTTCCCGTCCCGTATAAACCATGTCCTCCTAAAACCACAGCCACCGCAAAAGGTCTAGAAACCTCGTGACCTCGGGTGGGCGCTGCTGATGGCGGAAGTCTGTGGTCAAAATGGCTTTGGAGTCGTCGTAAACCATCGTAAAATAATCGGTTTTGGAATAAGAGAAGCGACCTCTGCAAATGTCTTTGTATAAAGCTCTCTCTGTGTACTTTAAACTATACATCGTCATTTGCAACATAACAGGCATATGCGCTGTAGTCTCCTCCTGTTCGCTGAGATGCATTCAAGTTTTACTTGTATTGTTGTTGTTTTTGTCGTCGTTACGTTTTTCTTATCTTAGCTGGCAACCATTCCCCCGATGGTTACTGGCCAAGGCCATCCTGAGCCGTTTTCCGACGAATCTGATGAGAACCCGTTTTTCCCTCCCACCTTCAACCAACCTTCATTTCCTATAAGCTTCCCTAAACAGCGTCGTCCCTAGGAAGGTTGGCTCTCACTTAACGTGCCCTTGGCCCCCCAACCACCTCCTCCCCCCGCCGCCGCGGCGCTCTCGCCCCCTTTGGCATTCCCCCCCCCGGTTAACCCTTTTTTCTCAACTATTTTCCAGAAATAGATATAAACCGATTATTTGGTGACGAGGGTAAATTTACCCTCGTCACCAAGCTGCCGTACATCTCCGCTCCTACCATAAAAAAGTTGCTGTTGCTGTCTTCAATGCTGCTGTCACGTCTGTCGTACTTGGGGACAGGAGCGACGCATGTGGGAGGACCTAACAGCAAGCGAAGTGGACGCTTGGGTTTCTTTTCGCTTCCCCTTTCGTCCCCTTA